TGGCTTAAGAGTTGATAAGAGATTAAAATGTTGAAATGTTAATAATGATTGGTTTTAAAATTCAATAATATGAGGGGAGGTTTAGAATATTGAGTTTTAATTAAAGAGTTTAATAAGATTATGGTATTGATGTTATTATAAAATTTTTATTATAGTATTTGTTTTTAATATTTAGATCTATTGTTTAACTATGTATTTAATTATTCTGGATGTATTATTCAGATAGAATGTACCAAGCAAAATCGGATTGGGTATTGGGTGGTATTTTAAAGATTAACTTGATTAATTTAGTGGGGAGATAGAAAGACATCATACTCTGATTAGTGATTTCAGGAGAAATTTCTTTTTTTATATAAGGAATGAGACAAAGGTACAATAAAGAATGGACAAAATATACAAATATAATGACTCAAATTAAGATGATTAATTAAGATAGAATTAAGAAGAGTGAAATATGTGGAGAAGTTAATATAGAAGACTTAGGTAAATAAAATAAGTAATGACATGTAAGATGAGCATGAATACAGTTGAAGTCCATGAAGAGAGAGATACCTGGGTCCAAGTTACTTTCCAAAAAGATTTTTTTTATGTTTTGTGTGTTGTGTATATATGTTTTTTTTGGGGGGAGAATTAATAAAACCTTGCAGAAATATAGAATGAGAATAATGGTAATTAAGTCAGAAAGAAATAGATGAAATAATAATAATAAAATTGAATAAGAGTAAAGAGAAATAAAGAGAAATTGGATAAGAGGTTTTTGTATGTTTATATGGAAATGGTTTAAAACAGAATTATAGTTCATCTGACTTGTTAAATTTATAATGGAAAAAGGTTTAAATATGTAATGGATAATGATGACTTGTGTGTTTTGAAAATTAATAAAACTTGTTTTTTTTTTTTAAAAAAAAGAATTATTGACTAATGTACGACAGATTGAAATAGAAACAAGCACTTGGGCAGATCATAATCCAGTGTCAGTTATTTGGAAAGGACACAAGAGGAGATCTAAATGGACTTTAAATGATATGATACTGAAAGAAAAAGATTTTAAACAGAAAATAGAGAAATAACTTGTTTTCTTCTTCAAAGAAAACAGAAAAGAGGATACATCTTTACAGAATCTCTGGGACATGATGAAGGCCTACATAAGAGGCTTGATAATAGATTATACTAGGAGAAGAAACATAAAATGGAAAAAGACATTTAAGACATTAGAGGATGACTATAAAAGACTGGAAAAGGATTTACAGATGTTCCCACAAAAAAAGATATTAAAAATAAAATGGATATAATTAAACATAAAATGTGACTAATGGAAAAAAGAGGAATTAGTACAAAAAATTAAAAATGCTAAACAGAATTACTTTGAAGATGTAAATAAACCAGGCAGATGGCTAGCTTATAAACTGAGAAAGGAAAGAGAAGCAAGAAGAATTAGTCAATTGATAAATAAAGGACAGGTTTGCTATGGAAATGAGAAGAAAAAAATTATACAAGACTACAACAGAAAACTGTACTTTCAAGAGAATATTCAAGAAGAAAAAGTTAAACAATATCTTCAGAAAGCGAACCTACCTCAGATACCCCAAAACATTGAAACAATGTTAGAAGGAAGTATAACAATGATGGAATTAACAGAAGCCTTAAAAAAACAGAATGCTGGGAAAGCACCAGGTCCAGATGGTTTGCCAGTGGAATTTTACAAGACTTTTCAGGAAATATTGAATTTTCATCTTTTAGAAGTTATTAATGAAGTTATGTTAAAGAAAAGAATACCAAAAACATGGCATACATTACACTTATACTAAAGGAAGGTACAGACCTACAGCAAGTTAAAAATTATAGACCTATATCTTTATTGAACTCAGACTATAAAATCTTTGCTTCAATTTTGCAGAAAGACTAAAAAGATACTTAAATAATTTTATTCATACTGATCAAAATGGATTTCTGCCAAAGAGACAAATCAAAGACAATGTGAGAATCATTTTGGATACTCTGGAATATTATGAAGCACACCCTGAGAAGCAAATGCCCTTGATGTTTCTAGATGCACAAAAAGCCTTTGACAATGTGAGTTGGTGATTTATTTTACTGCAATTAATACAAATGGGCTTTGGTAAGAAATATCCAAGCCATTGAACAATATACCATGAACAAACTGTAAAGGTGATGGTGAATGGAGAATTAACAGAATCTATAGATATAAGAAAAGGGACAAGGCAAGGCTGTCCATTGTCGCCTCTGCTGTTTGTGTTAACATTGGAAGTCTTGAATAGGAATATCAGAGAAGAAAAAGAAATAAAAGGAATGAAAATTAAAAAGGAGGAATATAAATTGCAAGCTTTTGCAGACGACCTGGTATTTATATTAGAAGACCCATTGGAAACAGCACCCAAATTAATAGAAAAAAATAGAATAATACAGAAAAGTAGCATAAACAAAGACAAAACAAAGATATTAACAAAGAATATGTTAGCAAGACGAAAGAGTTGGAAGAAATTTTAAAAATACAGGTCACGAACAAGGTTAAATATTTAGGGATTCATATTACACCAACATGTAGTACACTGAAGGAAGATAACTATGTTAAACTCAAACAGCAGATTGCGACAGATTTGATAAAATGGGAAAAATTGCAACTATCATTGATTGGGAGAATATCCACAATTAAAATGAATATATTGGCTAGAGTTTTATATTTATTCCAGACAATCCCTATTCAATTAAGGAAAGAGTTTTTTGAAGATTTAAATAGAATTATGTTGAAATATATTTGGCAGGGTAAAAAAGCAAGAATAAAATTAAAACTGTTACAAGCTGCAGGAATAAGAGGAGGGTTTGCCTTGCCCAATTGGGAGCTACATTACCAGGCGACAAATTTGATGTGGGTAAAGGAATGGATAACACTAAGGAACAGTAGATTATTGACTTTAGATGGCCATGACTTGCTGCTGGGATGGTATGCCTTTCTCTGGTGTAAGGGAACTAAAACACAGGAGTATTTCAGAAGACATTATATTCGTGAGGCATTGTTTCTGAATTAAAAATTCCAACATAGATATCAACTATTGAAGCTTTTTCTTATCCAATAATATATAAAAAGGAACAAACAGTTAGATATAGGGAGATATTGAATGAAAAGTGTGAACTTAAATCTATGCAAGCGTTGGAAGAACAAGGTGTAAAAATGAATTGGTTTTCATATTTGCAAATACAATCTAGGTTTGATAAAGACTCTAAGGCAGAAGGTAAATTGACTGATTTAGATAAAATTTTGATGAGTACTGATGAAAAAGTAATTAAAAAACTTTATAGACATCTATTAGAATTTAAATTGGAGGAGGAACAAGTTAAAGAAACTATGATTGCTTGGGGGAAAATTTTTGGATATGGGATTGATTTAGAAAAATGGCAAAAATTGTGGTCTCAAAATTATAAAATGACAATGTCAACTGCATATGAAGAAAATTTGTATAAGATGTTTTACAGGTGGCACTTACCCCCGACGAGAATCGCGAGAATGTTTAAGAATAAATCAGATAAATGCTGGATATGTCATCAGATACCTGGTTCATATTACCGTATGTGGTGGACATGTTCGGATGCGAAGAAATATTGGACTAAAATCCACACATGGTTGGAAAAAATGATAAAACAACATATAGACTTTAAACCAGAGATTTTTTAATTGGGAGTCATACCGGACATATACAATAAAGAACTGAAATATTTGATTGTAATGTTTTAACAGCGGCTAGAATTGTATTTGCGAAGAACTGGAAAAATGACAAAATACCTATGCAGGAGCAAGTTATCAAAAAAATTATGGACTGTGCTGAAATGAGTAAACTGACATTTGAAATTAGAGAACAAGAAGACAAGCAATTTTATATGATATGGGATTTGTTTTATCAATGGTTGGATAAAAAGGCATGGTAATGTAATAGACTAGATAATTTTGTGATAGAAATTTAATAGACTGATATAAAACATAATATATATATAACCACTGGTTGAAAGTATAACACATATTTTAAGATAAAACTTGGAACATCTCTTATAAAATGATGGAATAAATAGTTTAGTCATGGATGATTAATAACTGATAAATATATAAGCATATGTTAGTTCGACAATGTGAAGACTTATATAAATTGTGAGTACAAAAGGATAGCACAAAAGATATGTAACCAACTGACACACTGTATGTATATAAAATGGAAGATGTTTTTATGTTTTTATGTTTTGCATGTGTATGTTTGTTTTTAAAAATAATTTTTTTTTAAAAAAATTACAACTTAATTCAATCTGTCATACAGATCTGTAACAAATCTAAAAAACATGTCTCTCCTTGCTGACCTACACACATTTCATCTCAATTAAAATTCTATATCTAGTTAAGCAACTCTAGGCATCTGAGGAAGTGAGCTCATGAAATCATATCCTTTTAACTAAAATTTACTTAATTTTGTTAATCAGAAAAAGCACTACCAGACTTCTATTTTTTGGCTACCCTATATCAACATAGCTTTCCCTCCTACTATGGCGGGGTGTCAAACTCAAGGCCCGCAGACCAGATGCAGCCTGCAATGTGGTTGAAGCTGGCCCATACAGCTGTCTTGGTCTACCCAATGCGAAGAAAAAAGATCGGCCTTATCTACCAAGTGCAAAGAGAGATCAGGCCAGCATAGCTTTGACCCAGTCTACCCATTGCAAAGAGGAAAGATCAGGCCAGCGTGGCTTCGGCCCAGTCTACCCCATGTGACAAGATCAGGCCAGTGTAGCTTTGGCCCAGTCTACCCAATGTGAAGAGAAAACATTGCCAGCAGTTTGGAATGTGGTGTCAAGATGGCCATGCCCACCCAGTTGGCCATGCCCACCCACCCCGAGGTCAACCACAGCCATGATGCAGCCCTCAATGAAATTGAGTTTGTCATCCCTGTACTATGGTGACTTCTGTACTGTCATATTTGACAAGGAGATGGGAAAACAAAAACCTTTGGGTCCACTCTGCTGGATGGAATCCATGCTCAATTGCTGCATTCTCTGCTGGTAGTCCAAATGCATCCCATCCCATTGGATTTATCACCTGTGCAAAAGCAAGAAATATTATTTTGGCATTTTCCAGAGCTTCATGGTTCAAAATAATGAAACATGTTTGCAAATTCAACATTTTCACTCTATCACAAAATCATACATATTATGCTTGTCACATACAATTTCACTTTAAATATAATGCTTAGGATTTTTTGTGTTAACTTGAAAACAGTCAAAACTGGTTGCATATGTCAAGCCCAAAATCGACATAAGTGTAGCCATTTTAGTTAGTCTTAGTATATATTCTTTTTCTTACTTTCTCTGTGGCAATCATGGGGGGAAGGATTTTGGGCTTGCCACATTTCTAAGGGGGGAGGAGTGGAGATAAAGAGAGTTGTTTTCGCTAGGTGATCTTTCTTCCCATAGGAAATGAGCTGTCCTTGCTGGGGCCCCTTGAGATGGAGATTTATGACATCAAGCAACATCGAATTACTTCTATTGGAGAATGTGACTTTTGGGGGTTGTTTCTAACTTGTAATATTGTGGGGTAATTTCAGGTTGTGTCAGATCTGGAATTACCATGGACTTTGCCAATTTGATGCTTTCCTAAATAAAAGAAATCTTTTTTGAAGATGGACTTTTTACTTTTCTTTTTAAGTGGATTTCATCACTTGGAAACCTGACAGTATATGCTATACTAGTGTACTTGTACATGCTAAGGTACATCCGGTCATTTTGATAATGTGCTATGATATTTACTACACATATGACAACAAAAATAATCCCTTCCTTCCTTCCTTTATCCTCCATCACTCCATATCCTGTTCAGCAAGGGTTTTTTGTTTAATTTAGATAGGGTGATTAGGAACTAACTTTGCCTTATTATTCCAGCTTCTTAAGGGAGAATATGCCAAAGAGCCAATTTGTGCATAATCCTAAAATAAGTTACAAAGGCCTTTTTATTTGTTTATTAAGTAATCCTCTGGAAAGAGAAGCCAAGGAAGCAACTGGAAAGCCATTAAAGACACCTTGGTCCTAATAAGCCAGGTGCTGAAGAACTGTGGCTCATTCTAAATTCCAAATCAGACTATTCTGACTTGATTTTCTGCATGTATGAAAGAAAAACAATTGAAAGAGATCATAGACTAATTAAAAGTAACCATGTCTTTACTTCTCAGTAGGTAGATGGATTTCCAAATTAACAGCGATTTAGGTCATGGGTCGCCAAACTTTTGGACCTCAGGGACCACCAAACTCATAATCTTAAATTCCACAGACCAGAGACCCTGGGAAAATCCCCCCAAAAGTCTGCAGGAAAATTCCCCACCCCGTTTTCCTACTGATCAATCTTCTTTATTTGGGATCACAGGATACTATCTCCAGCTCTGTTCTCAGAGGGAGGGGAGGGGGAGGGGGAGGGGGAGAGAGAGAGACTGAGAGAGAGAGAGAGAGAGAGACTGAGACTGAGACTTTCCTTCATGCAAGGAAAGCAGCAGAAGTGGCAGAAGTCTTTCTTTCTCTCCCCCAAACTCCGTCAGAAATGAGTCTTTGTGAGACTTGTTGCACCGGCACAGCCTCTTGGAGCAGGATGCCTTGCAGGGTCCCAAAGACTCATTTCTGGTGGAGAAAAAGAAAGACCTTTGCTGCTTTCCTTGTGTGCAAGGAAAAACAGAAGAAGAAATGGAAAGAAGCAGCCCAGTGGCCAGGTCAGGCCAGGCGCGTGGGGCACGTTCCTCCTCTCCGCCCTTTCCCCCCTCCCCTCACTACCTCATGTTGTTCACAATGCAAGCAAAGCAAACCTTGTGTTCACGCGGGCCATGTGGGCAGCGCAGCTTTGTGTTCCTGCTCAGCCTGGATTAATTGCTTTGGGAGGTGACATTTCTCTGTGGATCACCAGTGATCCCCGGCCCACTGGTTGGCGACCACTGATTTAGGTATCAGACATTATTAACAAATGAACAAGATCTTACTTCTTATTTTTGGAATAAAAACTGAACCTTCTTATTTTTACTATCAGTGGCTACAGGACTATGCCATTTGTAAATGCAAAATAAATGAGCACATTTTTATAGCTATCTTGATGGTATGATATTATGTTTGTTATATAATAAAGCAAGTGTAAAGTAGAGAAGGGATGCAAGAGTTCCTTATCTGGGAAAATAAATTAATTGTCGAACAAAAAAGGGAAGTGGAATTCTGTAAAATGTGTATGTTATGCGAAATAGAACACCAAATGTTTACTCTGCATAATAAGAACAAAATACAAAGAAAAGATAAAATAGTTATAGAACCTCCTGCTTTTAAAGTATGTTCAACATAATATCATTTAACAATATTTAAAGTATTATCATTACACAGAACTCTATATCAGATAATAGAAAATAATTCAGGTAAAACTATTTCAGAGTTATCAGAACAGTTTTTGATGGAGAAAGTCAAATCAATCTGAGGACATGTCCATTAAGTTTGGAATTTCTACAACTTATTTCATTTTTTAAAATAAACTTTTATATCTTTAAAAACCAAACCAAAAATATACATATTATTACATTAACAGTATGTGACATCTATCTCATAAACTTCTATTTTGTGCTTATTTACAAATATATACAATTCATGTGAATGTAAACCTTTAATCTATAGGTTGCTTATCATTAATTCTTTCATCATCCATTTGTCTTACTTCAATCCAATCATACCATTTTCCCCAAATTCTATAATATTCAGAGTCTCTCATAACATCAGGGTTAATTTATCCATCTCAGCACATATCATTATATTTTGAATGATCAATTCATCTGATGGTATATAATTGTGCTTCCAACATTGAGTGTAGGCAATTCTAGCAGCCATTAAAATATGTAATATTACATATTTTATATTTTTCCCACATTTCTTTTTAAATATCCCTAACAAGAATAATTCTGGTTGCAATTCTATTTGTTCCTTAAGGATCTCTTGCAACCATTTTTTAAATTTTAAGCCAGTACTTCTGGGCTTCTGAACAAGACCACCACATATGATAAAAAGTACCCTCTTTCTTCCAACATGCCAATCTTGCAGGAGGCAGGTACCATCTATAAAACATCTTATAGATGTTCTCTTTATATGAGGCTGATTTTGTTAATTTACAATTTAGGTTCAAAATATTCTCCCACTCTGTCAAATTTATATTGTGTCCAATGTTTTGAGCCCAGGCTATTATACATCCCTTAACGACCTCTTCTTCCAATTCTACATCTAACAGATATTTATAGATTCTTGTGGTATATTTTTTTATCTGGACCTGTTAAAAATTTTATCCAATTGTTGTAGTTCCAAATATATTCCGAACTCTTTTATGTCTTTTTAATACCTGCTTTGTAGCTGAAGATATGCCCACCAGTCGATGTGTACCCCTTGTTTTTGAAGGTCCAGGATAGATTTTAAGTTTCCTTGTACGTCTAAAACATATTTTGCCATTTTACATAAGTCTAAATTGTTTGGGTGTATTATAGCTTCCATCGTAGATAGCCAAATTGGAATTTTCATATGATGTTTCTTTCTAATTTTAATCCAATTTTGTAGTACAGAATCTCTAATCAAATGTCTGTGAAAATATTGTTGTTTTTAGTTCCTGATTTCCACAAAAAGGCATGCCATCCTCTTTGCAGGTCGTGGCCCTCTAAACTTAATATTTGCTTATTAGTTAGATTAACCCATTCTTTAATTCAGATTAACACCGTCGCATTGTAATACAACTCCCAATTTGGAGGTCCAAGTCCCCCTATTCTTTTAATATCTTGTAGTGCTTTCATCTTTATCCTAGGTTTTTTGCCTAACCAAATAAATTTTGCCGTAAGTTTACTAATCTAACAAAAAATTTCTCTAATTTAATGGGGATCGTCTGAAATAAATACAGGAATTTGGGTAAGATGGACTTTTTAATGGCTGCTATTCTTCCTAACAGTGATAATTGTAATTTAGCCCATAATTCTAAGTCTTCCTTTGTTTGTTGTATGAGTTTATTATAATTATTCTCCTTTATTGTTATACACGGAGCAGTCAACCCTATATATACCTAAATATTTAATTTTCTTTGTTATTTGCAGTTCCATTACCTTTTCCAATTCTATTTTTTGTAATTCCGTTAGATTTTTGGTTAGAAATTTTCTTTTTTGACTGTTAATTTTAAAACCTGCTACTTCCCCGTATCTTTCCAATTCTCTAATTATCTTTTCCCCTGTCTCTATCGGATCCTCAATAATATCATCTGCAAAGGCTTGCAGTTTGTATTCTTCCTTTTTGGCTCTAGTTCCTTTTATTCCCTGGTTCTGTCTGATTCATCTTAGTAGGGTCTCTAGTGACAAGATAAAAAGCAGAGGTGACAGAGGGCAGCCTTATCTTATTCCTTTCCTTATTTCAAACCTCTGGGTGTTTTCACCATTTATCATAATATTTGCCTTTTGGGTGGAGTAAATTGTTTTTATTATATTCTTAAATTTACTTCCTAGGTTCATGTTTTAAATTTGTTGTATCATAAGTTTCCAATTTAATTATCGAATTCCTTCTGGGCATCCAAGAAAACAAGGGCCACCTGTTTCTCCAGGTGGGCTTTGTAGCATTCCAGAATGTCTAATACTATCCTTAAATTATTCCTAATGTATCTAGATGGCAAAAATCCATTTTGATTCGAACGAATATATTCATTCAGTAGTCTCTTCAATCTGTTCGCTATTATGGTCGCAAATATTTTATAATTGGCATTCAATAAAGATATAGGCCTATAATTTTGGATTAGTGTCCTCCTTTGGGATTAGCGAGATGTATGTTTCCCTCTATGACTCTGGCATCTTGGCTTCTATCAAAACTTCATTATACAGATCTAACATCAGTGGTCCTAATTGTTCTTCCATCATCTTAAAGAATTTTCCTGGGAAACCATCTGGTCCTGGTGTTTTGTTATTTTTCTGATTCCTAATTGTCTGGTTAAGTTTTGTAATGGTTAAGTTTTGTAATCTTTAGTTACGTTTTCCCTCAATTCTTCTGCTATTAATGGACTTCCTTCCTCTT